TTAGTGGACTGGATTATGAATATAAACCATACCTTGCTAGGTATTATGTATCTATTTACGATATATTTCTCAAATCACAGGAATCCAAAAAATATCATAACATAAAAAGATCTGATAATAGAAAAATCTATGACCATTGAACAATAACTTTCTTAACTTTAGCATAACAAGGGGATTTTTAATTAGTGTGAACTTAGTCTGTAATGATGTATTCTGAAAACAAAATTCTTCACGCAAAAGACCAGCCTATGTTAGGTCTACTGTATAATAAATATAACTTTGCTTAATTAAATATGAACTTAATCTGAAATGAGTTTCTCAGGTATTATCCCCTGTTGTTCAAATCAGCAGAAGGTGATCAGGAGAACATGAGTTCCATTACAAGGAAAACCATGCAAAGTGTTTGATTATCTATCCACCACCTACAGAAAATAATATCATCTTAATTAGCCTCAGTTTCTAATTTGTATGATGAGAGAAAAAGAGCTTCTGCCCTATACGTCTTCTGCAATCAATGTGAAGACCAAACTCAGTAACGTGATTAAATATGCCTGTTGGAAACTGACATTATTGGTACTATTTTGATTCACGTAAACAATAATGCTGGAGGATCCTTGAAATTAAAATAAATACTTAACCTTAAATTATAAATAATAGTCCTTCTATAACCTGTGGGTTCTTATTGTAATAATCTGGGAGTTTGTATACGTTTGTTTTATCTAAAACAAAACCTCTTAGTAAAGTCCACATTTCAGTTTATTATAGAAGTGAAAATGCTCGACTGGATGAACAAATAATGGCATCCAGCCGGGATAAGTCGCCTGAGACTTTCTCTCTACTCGTGAGGCTGAGGCCAGCGTGAACTTGTCCCAGCAGCTCCATCACGATGCCCTGGTTTCTGCAGTCAGATGGGCACCTGTGCCACTCACACTAGGCTCCGTGCTCTGACCACGTGGCTTCCTTTTAACCTCAGGTCATTGTCTGTGCTGCTATGTGTTAGAAAAGGGGCACAATCAACTTCAGGGGAATCTGTTGCTGGCCCAGGGACATAGCAGTCACTGTGAGTGTCACCCAAGGAACACGAAAGGCCAGCCTCAGGATTCTGACTCAGAGCTCCAGCACTCAGACACAGAATGGGATCCCCCAGCTTTTAGGGAATGCATGGTTTCTGCCAAGCCTCTGGAAGGGACAAAAGGACATCTCTGGTAGGCACCGTATGGAATCTCCTGTACTTACGCTGCACATCTCACATTAAAAATGCTGCTGTCATGGCAAACATTTACATTTGTTGATAGAGATTTAACTACATTTAACAGTAAGGTAAAATATAACGTGCTCAACAGCGAGAATATTCAAACAGGAGATGGGCTGATGTACGCCTTTCAAAGCCTCCTTTCAATACATTAAACTAGGAGTTTGATCACGTAAAATGACTGCTCTGACAACAGAGTTATCCTGTTCCTTTGATATAGAAGCTGCTTGGAGATTTCTGACCCTGACGGGGTATAAGAGACCAGAAGATATTCCATCCAGCTGGAGAACCTGCAGGTGACGTTGGCTAAATGTGGTGTTGAAACACCCAGGTGGGGCTCCCCCAGTGGAGACATCTTTCTCCGAGAGAAAGGCTTCGTGAGCGTGTCTCCAGGAATCAGGCCTCTCAGGTGATTAATTCTTGGGAGAAATGCATTTGTTTGCCTTAGAAATCAAACAAGCCTTCGGTGTCCCTCCAGAGAAGCTGTGGCAATGGAAACCTGGTGGAAGGTCCCCACAGGGCATGCAGATGCTGTTGGTCCTAAGTGGCTGCCTGGGACCTGGGATTCTCATGAGAGGTTCTCTGAAAGGGAGTGGAGTATCACGCTCTACTGCCAGGATGCTCAGTAAACTGGGTGCACCTGTCTCACACCGCTAGCAGGTAGGTTATCTTACAACATCTCACCGTGGCTGCACCCTTCCTGAGTAGTTCATGTGATTCCTTTAAAGGTCATGTCATAGGTGATAATAGAAGTTATTTCCTTGGGAGCCAACCGCTGAACATGCATTCTGAAACCAGACACCCCACAATTGACTATGAATTCTTTCATGGTCCTGCTACCTCTTCACAGCTGTTTGCTTTCGGCACCTCCTGTCTTCCGTGCTCTGGACTCAGCACTTGCTGACCACCTGAGACGTGGTCACCACGCCAGGTCTGGCCACAGAGTTAGAAATCCTAGGTCCTGAGGCACAATCAGCCATTGTTCCTTTGCGGTGCTGTCACATATCCACTGGGTGCCCATTTACTCACATTATTCTGGCAAAAATGTCTTTAATTCTAGTTTGCTTTCTGGCTTTTAAAAACAATTACGTCCTAAGTGTTCAAGTCAGAATAAACAAACCCTACGCAGTCACATTCTCAAACTGTTTCAATAAGGCTTCTGACTACCTTTCAAAGTATATCACTTTGTACTTTTAAAGAAATATTTAAATTTGACCATAAACTAAAACTGAATTTTTAATTCTAGAAAATGGAGAGCAAAACCTGGTTAAGGTCCCTGGTGTAAACGATACCTATTTACAGATTTCCTATCTTAATTGTCACACCAAACACGAATGCCTCCTGCTTTCCAAACGGCATGAGAACGTGAAACGGCCACACTGTAACCATCTTTCTGGTAAGCCCTGGTCAAGTTACAGGTCATTAATCAGCCTCCACGATTAATGAGGTCCCTCAAAACCACACTCACTTAATACAGTGTTCAGAAATAATTTGCCAGGTTGATCTACTTTCCAAATATTTTACTATACAAATCTATCATTTTAATTCTTACCATCTCATTAATGACACTGGTGCCTCGTGTCCCCGGTAGATTTAATAGCAATGACGGTAAGTCTGTTGATACGTGTTCTGATAGGCTTCTCCACGCAGCATTCTACCATAGACAGACAAAAAATCTTGGGAGACTAATTTTAATTTACATAATGCATGTGTGTGTGCATATGCATCTATGTGTATATATACATATCTAATATGTGTGTGTGCATATGCATCTATGTGTATATATACATATCTAATATGGGTGTGTGCATATGCATCTATGTGTATATATATGTGTGTGTACATATGCATCTATGTGTACATACACTTATCTATCTTCTATATGTCTATCTGTGCCTGTGTATTTATGTACATGTAAGTGATGGATTCTTTGCATTAGAATCTTAAGCCACTGTCACAATCTAGGATTATTTCCTAAAATTCAGGTTTCCTAGTACAAACTCCTCTGACTTCTGAAGGAAGAGTGGTAATTTAAGCCTGCCCATGAGATTAGCAACAAGCAACTCACATCTCCCTGATGTATGGAGGGACCTGATGTATGGAGGG